CTTCTTTATTATATCGCACATCGGATGTTAATGCTGAAATAATGATACTTTCTATTTTACAGTACAAATGGATCTTTGCCAACGATCCTTTGTCCATTTTATTTTATTTTTTTATTTTTTTTCCTTTTATCCTTAAAAACAAGAAGACCATAAAAAAAATGATTAGGTAACGGAATGATGTACTTTCACAAGGATTCCAAACTCTTTTGTATCTTGCATCAAATTCGCCTCTCGTGGAACCTCCTATTACTTTTGAAACCAGGTCCAATGGGATGATTGTTTGGACGACTTGTTCCTTCGCGCGTGGAAGACGCGACACGAAAGCAAAGCAACTTCGTTTTTTCTTTTCGAACACCTCAAACCACAAATAATGATAATAAATCGAGAAGATCGCGTTCAACCGATATCCATTTCCTACAGATTCGTCATATTTCATCCGTGGAAGAGCACTCTATTCGAGTAACGGGAGCTTGAAAACAATCCTCTCTCTAATGGAGAGGATTCGCGATTTGTCTCGTGGCAAACCAACGTATTCAAACGCTGCGGGATATTCGACGGTGAGTTGTCCAATTAGCGAATCGCAAATCGGTGTAAACTGTCTTAACGATCGGGCAAACTCCGTGGAGCAAGATCCGTAACATAACTCGACGATGGTTGTAGAAGGATGAGGAAAATCGAGGTGCTCGAGAGTAAAAGAATATATTGCGTCAAAACCGATTGTGGGATCCTAATTAAAAAGATGTTTTTATGTCGTTTTAATTAACCATCGAGCGGTTTTAACTACGATCCTTGGCACGGTTCGCTTGGATAAAACGCGGTAAGATGTTAAGCAGAAACGGTGACATTTCCGAAGTGAGGCTTTTCTCTTTTTTTTTTTTTAAAGAGAATTGTAAAGATGATAAAATTTCACGGTTGAAAAATTCGTTATGGAAATTTGTAAAAACTTTGAAAATCCCCTTTGGAAAACATAGGTTAGGTTGGCGCGAGACGAATGGCCGCGTCTCTCGAGCTGCCGGTGACGCAATCCGGGTATAATAAACGTTTCGCGGTGCATTCCGTGGCGAAGGAAACGGTACCGTTTTCTGCGTGAAAGCAATCACGTGGACTTTTGTCGTGGACCATCTCTCGGTGGTTGGCGCGCAGGCGAAAGGACGGACGAGCGACTCTTCTCCTCGATTGTGCTGCTACGGTATCCAACGTTACGCGAGAAACGTTGCCGTTCTTCTTCCACTTTACCAACCGAAGGGAATGGTAGAGGGGGAATCGTGAGCAGCGAGCACGCGCCTCCTCTCTTCCGTTTCCACGTGAATTTCGTTTTGTCCTCGAGCGAAACGCTTCTCGTATGCGAGTTGATACGAATCGTTACGATTCATGAATCATTTTAGAATTATTTATGGGATACTGGATGGATAGATGGATGGATGGATGAATGGAAGTGTATGGATTGTATCACGATAATAGGATTTAGCAACGTCGAGTTTCTTGCTTAATTGTCTGTGAAGATGCGGATAATCGTCGCGATTATTATTATTATTATAATTTGCGTGTAAATTTGGTGGTCGAGTGACTCTTGTGTCGCGAGACAGAAGCAAAAAGAACAAAATTATAGATCTGTATACAAAATTGTATTAAAATGTTTAATAGCTAATTTCCATTGAGACATTGCATTATTTTATTTTATCGGCGAGGATGATGACATTTATGAGCTATTTGAAAAATTCGAAATTGCTTCTCGGTATCCCATTATTAATTAAGATAATAATAATTCGTTAAAATTAATGACCGATCAATAAAGAAAAAAGAAGATACCGAGAGAACCACTGTTTGCCTGTTATTGAATTCTTATTGAGAAAGGTCGCTGCCTAGTCTTTTTCTCGTGAATGACCTCCAGAGGTTGGAACGAGGCCAAAACGAAATTCGATGTGTCCCGGATGAAGGGAGAAAGTTGTTTTTGTCATTCCAGATCACAATGGCGCCACGACAGATTCTTCAACGATTACAAAATGATCCATACCACCTTCGGCGTAACTTCCGTCCTATCCAAAATCTTCTAAAACGTATACTCTTTTCTCGTTTTGTTTCTCAACAATCTTTCAACAGATTTTTCGTGAAACCTCAAATTCGTCAGAAGCAGGCATAATCTCGGGTTAAAGATCGCTGAGCTGTCGAAATGCAATTGACAGGAAAAAATATTTCTAAAATTTTAGAAATTTCGAGAGAAACTGTGCAATTTTTTTTTCTTCTAAGAATTTTGAGAGAGAGACACACGTGACAGTATTCAACGAGCTAGCAAATCATTAAAA